AAAAAGATAACTGATGATTAAGTTGATTTCACTCACAGTATAAATAAACACGTGAAAAACAACACTTAAACATATTAAAAAGTGGGACTTATAGGACTCTCGGCAGTTTGCCAAGTTTCTACTGAGGATTCTTGTTTGTGTTTGTACGTGATATGTGTCAAGGTTTTTTGTACGTTACAAACAAAGCTAAGGGAAGCATCAAAGTACGTCATGTTATGTGTTTCTTTCGAACCAAGGTTATTGTGTCAGAGAAATCCTTTTGCAATGTGTTTTCCTCGCCGCAAGAATACTTTTTTTTTTTACTGATGCTTCCTCCAAAATGGCTGACATATAGAGTATATTAAAACCAAAAGTTGTGTAACATATTATATCTCTCTCTCTGTGATGAAAATTACGAAATATGAAATAAAGACGTTTTAATAGAGCTGGTAATGTGGTATTAACGAAGTTGAACTGGAAATAATTTTTATTGGAGTAAAAATTCATGTAATATTATTTTTACGTTGTTGTTGAATGATAATTACATTCATTTCGTAGCTTTGTTACTAACTGTTATAGTAAAGCCAATATAATTTTAAGGTATACTGATAGACAGTCAAACGAGGTATTTATTTCTGTATACAATTCACTAGTTACGCGTCACTTAAATTTTTAAAACAGTTACAATCTTATATAAGAAAGGTTATGGACATATTCAAAAGGGTTCAGAGGAGAGCTATTATTAGGGCAGTAATGATGATGACAAAACCTTGTACATTTGCTGTTATGTTAAACTTATAATAAAGTTTTTCTTCACTACCCATTCAAGCCGTCTCAAGCATTATTGCTATTATTATTACTAATATTTTCTAACCTCAAGAAAATAGAGAGATAATAGTTAATGTTATTGGAGCTTACAACTATTAATAGTATTATCCAGCGGATCGATACGACAAAGGCCTGATTTCTTTATGCTACTAGTATTATTTGGAGGATAACAGGACGCACAAGAGGATTCATGTTTAACTATACTTTAAGTTTGGAAAAAAACTGGCAAGGTTCCAGTTAAAACAATATTATTTTTGTAACAAAGAGATTGGCTTATGGAATATGTTGCCAATTGTATTATTGGAAGCCAGCATTTTTACACTTTACAGGAAAATCGATGATTTCCTGAAAAATAAAGGACGTGTTTAAATATCTTTTTTTTTCAAGAGTGGCTGTGCAACTTCTAACTGGAAAAATCAAATGGGCGCATGTTCTATTTCATATTTGATTATTGAAAATTATTAATGTTAAAATCAGAAACCCTAAAATTACCTACTGTCCTCTGGATATTTTGCTCAGTTTAGAATGTCACTAACTTTTTACAAAAATTATACAAGTAGTTTACCAACAATGAGGTTGCAGAAGATTACTAACATACTGTTACGACAGCGGAAGTCACGCGACGCTGGGAGCATGCGCGCTGGAGTTTCTACAAGGATCATGACTTATCGAGGAACTCCGCGAATGTTCTAGTGTTTGTCAGGCGCCCTCTTTTTTAGTATATAAGCCTGGCGAGAAAAACCAGCGGGAGGGCAGATATAGATTGACTGAAGAGATAGATAATTGAGTCAAGCGAACAGTAGGCACGTAAGTAAAGTCTGTGAACCGCAGTGATTTATAGCGTGTGTTATAAATGTTATTAAGTTTAAAGTGACTGTGGAAATTCTGTGTATAACTAAAATTTGTATCTAGAAAGAATAAACTAGTTTTAATCAAGAAGAGACTTGTATCGCTGAAGTTTCTCTAAAAGAATTTTTACCGGAAATTATCAAACAAGCAGATACGTAACAATACATATGGCGATAATTAGCCCTTATCAGTTTGGAAAGAAAAATGACCCCGAGTTAATCTTATGGAGTATGACACAATGGGCATGAAGTGAGTTGAAATTTTGCTGGAAACAATGAAAGAGATAGATATTCAAAAGATCAAGAAGAAAGAGACAGAAAATTAAAAGAAGAGCAAAAAGAAAAATATACGAAAATAAAAGAAAACTACAAAGAATGCGTTAGAAAAATAGAAGAATTCCAAGAAAAAAGAGTTGGGAATTTAAGAGAAGTTAATTGAAAGAAAGAGACATAATTGAAAACATAAATATTTCTGATTGAATACAAGATTGATGAAGCTGATGGAGATGTACAGAAGGATTACAACAACAAGATTAAAGAAATACTGAAAGGCTGTAATGTCAAAACTGAATAAGTGTAGAAAGGTTATAACAGCAAGATCAATTATGTAGAGAAGAACATCAATGACAGAATAAAACATCTAGACAAAGAATTGGTAAATGAAAAGATTAAACCAGCTAAATCTCTTTCTGCATCCACCCAAGAATTCCAACCTAAATCACTATTTACTGTGAATACAGAATAGGAGAACCTATTTGGTCTACACTTATTACTTATAACTACAGCTGTGCCATATGACCTTTCTGGACTATTACAACCATGTCACTACCAAATATAGCCCCAGAATGTAGCTGGCTAGTTCTACAACATTACCCAATCAAGAAACTAACAGACTATGATGGTAAGATACTAGCTCAGTTTGAAGTAAATTGCAGAGTAAATGGATGGAGCAGTTGAAAACAAGCTATTCATCTTGCTGGCCATTTAAAAGAACAAACTTTAACAACATTAAGCAACCTTCCAGCTGAAATCTGTAATTACTTTCAATCATGTGTAGCCACCTTATCTAAGAAGTTTGGAGTAACACACCTGGTGGTGTAACTACCATGCAGCAGAGACAGTAATGCAGGAGGGCTGTAAGAGCTTAGGGGCCCAACAAAAGCTAGACGATATAGCTAATTCATTCTGTGTTTACAATTTTGTGGGGGGGGGGGATTGTAGTTACGCCAGTGGCCGCACCATTAGGAGGTATCCAAAGCAAAGCCACAGAACAGAGTATGGAGGAAAGAAGAAATTTTAGTCAAATTTGTGGAAGATATAGAAAGGCTTGTCCAATTAACTTGTCCCCGCCCCCCCAATGGCACAGTGGTATGCCTGCGGACTTACAATGCTAGAAACTGGGTTTCGATACCCGTGGTGGGCAGAGTACAGATAGCCCATGATGTAGCTTTGTGCTTAATTCCAAACAAACCAAACCAATTAATTTACTCGGATGCTTGACATGTAGTGATGGATTCTTTGGCATTTAACCAAGTTATAAATGCCATAATGCATGAGGATAACAGAATTAGGCTGAAGCAAAGTAGTTGTAGTTGGCAGTGGACTTAAATCAATTAAAGTCACAACTAAAGACACCAGATTGGAGTTATGGTATTTTTAGGACAAGTACTGATGGAAAATCAACTCTCCCTGATAATAATCTACAAGAACTGAAATGATTAGTTAGATAGCTAGTTACACAGAATGGAGGAAATAAGCCACAAGGCAATAGGTGTTTGAAGTGTAATGTGAATGGATATATTGCCAGGAACTGCAGACAAATGCATGTATAAAATACGAACCTCTCCCAAATGATTTCAGTAAAAGGGAACTGTTACAAATATGGGAAACTTGGCTACTACAGCCTAGACTGTGAGGAATCGATAATTGTTAATACACGAAGGAGGCAATATCCTGAGGATGAGTCTTTGAGCCAAACCAGATCAAAGGAACTGCAAAGAGCCAACCAAATATATGAAAACAGGATTTTCCTGGATTTTTGGGGTGAAATTCAGCTGAGAATAGTCCATATGTTTCAAATAAGTTCGGAATTTTATTATTTAAAGAAACTAGTCCAACGATTTATTAATGGGAAGCATTCCATTATTTTTGATCAACACCAGTTTTCCTGCTTCAGTTTTTCAACCTTACTTTGTAATGAAAGGTGGAAAGTTGCTTCCAGAGGTGAAGAAAGAAGATGGATTGAAGCAGACATAAAGTTCCAGCAAGAGGAAAGTTCGAAGTTACCCTTACCATTGGAAGTTTCTCTACCTCTCATGATGTGTGGGTAATTGACATTGAGGAAGAGTGCATATTGGGAACTAACTTCATGAGGAGACATGGATGCAAAGAACTAATTTCATGAGGAGACATGGATGCGAGGAACTAACTTCATGAGGAGACATGGATGCGAGGAACTAACTTCATGAGGAGACATGGATGCGAGGAACTAACTTTATGAGGAGACATGGATGCGAGGTAAGGTTAGTTTCAAATAGCTTTACAGTTTGTACAGGTTGAGCTTCCAGTGATAACAAGAAGCCAGTAACTATACTACCAAGAAGTGAAATACTCATATCAGGACTTAATAGGAAGAAATGTACATCTTATGACTGGGGAATAGTAGAACTAAACACTCCAGTGGTTGGAAGAAATATCATGCAGTGACAAAATGCTAACATAGACAGTCAGAGGCTGTTTGATCCAATTCTGTTAAGTATTCCTATTATTTGTAGATCCAGTCTATGGCTTGTCATTATTGAAATTAAAACACAATATACTTAACAACCAATTAAATAGAAGCCATGAAAATAATAATTCATCCTTTAACCCGAAATACACAGAAAATATTTAATATTCTGGGTAATAATACCACAGTATTAATATGTGTGTAGTTCTTTTGAATAGATTTCTGTAGTTTGGTAAAAGTGGAGTGATCACTATTTACAACTGGCCAAAACAACCTCAAAAGCTCCACAAAATTATTCTTTATAAAGTTTCGAACATGATAGTTTGCTTTTATATAGGTGTTTCTTTTTTTTGGAAATAACTTGTTTTTTGTGACCTATTGTAGAAATTTCAAAAGAAAATTTATTACTAAAGTTTTAAAAAGGTTATTGAAAAAACAAAAATGGTTTGTTTCTCTTTTCAAAATGTAAAAACTTGATTGGAGGAGAAAAAACAACATAAATTATTTTATGTAAGTGTAGTGGTATTCCTAAAATATGTATATCTAGACTGAATTTCATAATTTTTCTCACTGTACCACTAGTCACATGAGCTTCAGTACTGAATTTTGTATTTTAGGCAGAGGTCCTGTTTCAGTGTACTTGGCCAGGATGTAGACAACAGTATGACACATGTGAAAATATTGAACAGCATGTTCGCACTATTCACTTAGGGTAGGTATACCTATCAATCTATGTTGTAAGCTGTAGTTTCAATGTTATAATTGAGTTGTTTGTTATATGGAGTTCCTAATCATGATGATGATATAATAATCAAGAAGCTTCTTCTGATATCTAGAGATAAGGGTACATTATTTATAAATATGGGTAAGCAGTTAGTGAATTTATCGAGTGTTGAGCACATTTATGAGTTTAGTGTTAGGAAAGTTGTTCTTTAGTACCATTTATCAAGGAAATTTCTTTTTGCACTTAGGTCTATAACTAAAAGAGAGAGTAGCCTGTAGGAACTGTTAAGAAATAAATAAACTTGTCTATTATCGTGAGATGGACTGTACTTGGCATTATTTTTACCAAAGAATCCATAAGAACCCACCCAAGGATAGCATACTGTACAACAATATAATTTTTATGTAACTAATTTTTTGTTTATGTATGCTAAATAAAATAGTTATACCTGTTTTATAAAATTTGTAGTATTTTACACAAATATTCCATTCTGTTTGACTTATTGTAAAGAATGTACATATCTTTCAAGAAAAAGTTTAATTATTAAATTCAAAGTAGTAAAAAAAAGCTGATGTTTTTCAATAACCAATTAAATTGTGGACTGACTTTTTTCATGAGGTTTTTCTTACTTTATATCTTGTAAGTATGTCATTCATTAGACTACTTATTATTTTGTCGTGTTACAATTTTGCATCATTATGGGTACAGGTATGCTCAGCACGGAATTTATTTGAAACTTTCTCTACGTGTTGACAATCCTAAATATGTATATAAGCAAATAGAGAATATATTTTGTAACATTCTTTATATGAGTAAGAGAGTGAAAAACTGTTAAGTGAAAGCATTATGAAAATGACATATATGATATATTATACAAGACTTGTAGTGGATAACAAATGATGTTAATGTAATTAGTTACTACAAAAATAAATATTAGGTTTATGGTGTCATATTTTCATTCAACAAGTAGTGAGTGTACATCTAAATGAAGCAGGTATTCTGTTGAATATCTAGTTGGTATGTAATGTAGATGTACGTGAAAATTTGTTTTGCTTGGAATTTATAATTTAAATAATGTGAAAAGGAAATTTTTCATGCCAGGCCTATGTTTGTTACGATCACATGCAATTATAAATTATAGGCGAACCAAGCAACAAAAGACAGATCTGAATGACCATGAAGAGGAGTTTTATTACACAGAAATAGAAGTCAAGAAAGAGTCTTGTTCTTCTAGTCCTGAATTGGATGGGCTAGAAGACTCACTATCACCAACAGTGCTTACTGTTTGCACTCCAACCATCAGTCACTTGGACATGTCAAAACCACCTGAAGAAAACCCAGAACTTAAAACCCAGCAACAGGTATATTTAGTTAAGATGTTCTAGCTATTGACTATAAAAAACAAAAAATAAGAGAGATAATTTTAATGACAAGTTAGAAGTTATTAAAAATATCGAAATTATTTTATTACATTATATTCCCAGATCGATACATAAACCAAAGAGTCTGGTTACAGATACATTGATGTTTCATAATGTTTTATTTTTAATTCTGATTAAAGTATTTAAATTGTTGTTAACGTAGACAGATATAGGTAACTTATGGTTCTCATGTTTTAAACCTACTTGTATATGGAAGCGCATTATAATTGTATAATAACAAATTGACAGACAATGATTTATAAGCATGATGAAGTGATTTATTTTTGGGTAACATACTACATGTTTCGACAGAAGAATACTGACCAATGTAGTATATTACCCAAAAATAAATCACATCATTATGTTTATAAATCATCGTCTGTCAATTTACTGATGTTTTAAAACCTAAACTCTTTTTTTTATGTACTAGAACTGCAGTATAAAATTAGAATTATCTTGTAATTGTGACAGTTATATTTTTGATAATGGTTGCAACTGGTTTATTTTATAGCATTCCTCTTCTACTTCAAACCCCATCAATATCCCTCAGGGACAGACACCAGTTATTCAGTGGTATCCACATCATTCTTATGTTGCAAGCTTGCCAAGTAGCATGGTGAGACTTTTGTAAAGTTTGTTGGTTCTAAATTTTGTGCAAAGCTACACGAGGTCTATCTGCACTAGCCGTCCCTAATTTAGCAGGGAAGGCAGCTAGTCATCACCACCCACTGTCAACTTTTGGGCTACTCTTTTACTAATGAATAGTGGGATTGACCGTCATGTTATTATGCCCACACGGCTGAAAGGGCGAGCATGTTTGGTGGGATGGGGATTCGAACCTTTGACCCTCAGATTGCGGGTCGAGCACCATAACCACCTGGCCATGCTGGACAAGGAGTAAAGATAATGCATTTTACTCTTGTTGTACATACATATTGTTTGATACGTGAATGAAGTCATCTTATCAATAATCTGTAAGCTCATTGAGAGAATGTTATGAACTGCTCATATAACTTGCTTCTGAGGTATCAAAATATTATTGGTAACATCAAAGAAATACTTTAAAAATACAATTTTAAAAGAAAAAGAGAAATTGACCAGTTTCTTAACTTTATGCATGCAAACTAAAGATATAAAATATTGAGATTTTTGTATATAATTGATTCCATTCTTATTCCTGTATTTTGTTTAATCACTATTCATACAAAGTGTACTCGTTTTTACAGTCACGTAAAATTAGTAGTTTTTTTTTTTTAGTACTAGAACACTATTTTTTTTAAATTCTAAAACATTTATTATAATATACCAAAGCATCATTTCAGGTTTTTTATTGTTTATGTACACTGGCCCAGATAAGTTAAAAATTGAAATAATAATAGTAAAAGAAAAATTAATAAAGCATTCTTGTAACAAAAGCAAAAAACATTTCAACAACTGTTAGTTTCATAAAGCATTTTAGTAAACAAAACTTACTACTGAAATGCTTTGATATAAAAACACGTATTAGTAAAATTCGCTACCGGCTTATTATTGTTATGTATTGAGATATTAACATGAATATTAAAATATTCAGCCTAATCATACAAATAGGTTATTAATGAGTAAAGATGATTATTTACTTCCCCAGTGATTATATTTAAAGTTTAACATCATAATCACAACACTATTAGCTAGTGATTTATTAAATTGCATGTAGAGAAACATGACATGTTTATTTAAGTATTCACTCACATTCTGATACCTGAACAAGTGATTTTGAAAATTTTTTCTTTTAATGATCATATTTAGAGATAGTCTTTTAAAGCTTTCCTACAAATGCTGTTTGTATGTTTAGATAAAATTAAAATACATTATAATCGTACGACATATTATAAACTTGTAGGACAGATATGTTTTATGTCACAGAGATTTAACCTCAAATTTAAAAAAAGTGGACATGCAGAGTAAATATTACCAGAAAGAATATAAGTTTAAATTCTCAAAATATCATTATCATTTTAGGTTTCACCCCACAAACATCCAAGACTTAGCACCAAGTCACTTTCCACTTCACCCAAGAGCTCATCACAACAGCGAAAAGTACGTTTGGAAAGTCGTAAGTGTCGCAAAGTTTATGGCATGGATAATAAGGATTTGTGGTGCACTCAGTGCAAATGGAAGAAAGCGTGCATAAGATTTGTTGATTAATGTCGAGCTACTGCAGATAGAGCCAGTAAAGCAAGCTATTTTGTAATCTACAGTAAAGATCTCATAAATATTTTCAACATTACTTTCCAATGCAATTTTTGATATCATTTTATATTGTCAGTAGTGAAATTATGGTTGGTGTTCAAACAAACTGACAGCACAATGATATTTTTCAATTCGATACATTGTAACCGATTTTACGAAAATGAGACAAAGTTTCAACAACTAAGAGTTGTAGTGCGGTTCATAGTTCAGTAACTCTTGACTATATTGCTAGGTTTTCCAACTGATATATCCCAGCTTTATAAATACAGTTCATTTCTATTTTATTACTCTCTAATCAATCAGCCATTTTTTCAGCAAAAACATTATTAAATTTAGCAACAGCCAGGTTGAAATATTGCTCAAACACAGTTTAAACCGTTTTAATTAAATTTATTTCCTAATAAATTTGGAATAATTGGCAACTAACTTTAGAAAGACCACCCACCTTTGAAAAATTTTGGGTAAAAATATTCTCACTTTGCTTTGCTTGCTAGTTCTTCCTTACCCTTGCCCCCATTTTTAAACAAAGTTAGGTATCCATAGTTGAAATATGGTCTTTTTATATTTAGTAAGAGATATGCTTCATTTATTTTGTTTTTTTTAACTACTGATCCTATTTTTGTTGATGTTATTGGGTCTGATCTTGCCAAAAATATGTTAGTAATTTGAATTGAAAATATGAATGAACTTGGTATACAGATTGGTTTGTTTTTGCTATTTATTAAGTGTACTTTATGATTGTACTGTGTGTGTGTGTGTTTAGATATTTAGCAAAATCTGAAATAAAAAATCAAGAAGTCTCTTTTTTTCTATTGCATTTAATAACATGTCAATAAGAATTATTTTACTGTATTATAAATACTCACTTACTTGTGTCAGTAACTAGGATTTTAAGCATATGTATAATTGAAGCTAGTATCGTAAGTCAAGATCAGTGTTATTCTATAACTGTATAGGATGGGTAGCACTTTTATATACGTTTACGACCATATGAATACTTTAATTAATTTTTTGGTAGATTTCCTCGACACTGCTTACTAATGTTCCCATTGTAGATACTTACGTAAAACAGTTGAATTGGAAAATTGTTATATGGGATTTGTGTTAACAGATGCTT